GGGGTGGAAGGTACGGGAGTATTTATAGTCAGGTTCAGAATGTTGAGGTCAAGTGGAGAATGCTGCATCTGATGATCTACCGGGTGGGGTTATAGAGTCTTGGGTAGCTTGGCAGGGGTATTGGACAAGTTGTGAGTAGACCTTCTGCAGTGTTCTATGTTCTTATGTGGGATATCGGTGAAGAAGTTTCTTGGCAAGTGGTTCAGCTATGGCTTCTACAACATAGCTGAACCACTTGCCAAGAAACTTCTTCACCGCTATCCCACATAAGAACATAGAACACTGCAGAAGGTCTACTCACAACTTGTCCAATACCCCTGCCAAGCTACCCAAGACTCTATAACCCCACCTGGTAGATCATCAGATGCAGCATTCTCCACCTGACCTCAACATTCTGAACCTGACTATAAATACTCCCATACCTTCCACCCCAAGTAGATCTGTGTGTGACTTGAAAAAGCCCACTGTGTGGGTGAAACGTTGTCAATAAAGGATCACATTAAACTGCATGTGTGTTTATGTTTCCATAAGCCATGCATGTTGTAAGAGAGAACTAAAATATTGGTAGCAATGGGCTAGTAAACCCTTTTCCTGTATAAATTACTAAATACAAAAAGAAGAAAAACTTTTGATTCTTCTTTTTCGGGTCACCCTGCCTCAGTGGGTGATGACCGATGTATTAAAAAAAACGAACAACAGGCACTGGTGAGTACTACCAATTTTGGTTTGCTGTTTTTTCTCTCAAATTTTCCTGTGGACTTTTATGGTTACCATAGTTTTTTTTGTTTGCCACACCAGTTAGAAATTCAAGTACAGTATACTTGATACAATGGACCACAATATCTTGCACCTTAAATTAAAATATTATGGGGTCAGAGGACATACCATTGCATACCTAAAATCTTGTCTTAGCAATAGACACCAGTATGTCTACTCAGTCTGTAGCCATAGGAGTCTCCCAAGGTAGAGTTCATGGCCCTCTGCTCTTTCTCATTTACATCAATGATCTTTCCAATACATCTCATCTTCTTAAACCTGCTCTATTCATGGATGACACTACTTATGTCTTCTCCTACTTAAATCTGACTATACTCAGTGACACTGTTAACGACGAGCAACTAAAAATATCTACAAAGATGACAATCAACTAACTCACCCTCAATATAGACAAAACCTACTACATACTGTTTGGAAACAGAGCTTTAAATATACACCTTAACATACCTATCAATGGTTCCCCATTACAAGACACACTGAGGGCAAGTTTTTAGGCCTTCACCTTGACTGCAACCTAAAATTTCATACTCACATCCAACACACAGCCAGGAAGGTCTCCAAAACATTAAGCAACCTCTTCAAGATACAATACTATGTACCCCAAAAGGCACTACTTACACTATACCACTTTCTAATCTACCCTTACCACATCTATGGTATTTGTGCTTGGGGACTTACTATGACTAATTACTCTAAACCATTAATTACCCAACAAAAAGCTGCTGTGTGGATAATCGCCAATTCCTGCTCCAGACAACACATCCCTCCACTCTTCAAGAGGTTGAACTTACTTTTTTTTTTTTTTTTTTTTTTTCAACAAGTCGGCCATCTCCCACTGAGGCAGGGTGACCCAAAAAAGAAAGAAAATCCCCAAAAAGAAAAATACTTTCATCATCATTCAACACTTTCACCACACTCGCACATTATCACTGTTTTTGCAGAGGTGCTCAGAATACAACAGTCTAGAAGCATACACATATAAAGATACACAACATATCCCTCCAAACTGCCAATATCCCAAACCCCTCCTTTAAAGTGCAGGCATTGTACTTCCCATTTCCAGGACTCAAGTCCGATTATATGAAAATAACCGGTTTCCCTGAATCCCTTCACTAAATATTACCCTGCTCACACTCCAACAGATCGTCAGGTCCCAAGTACCATTCGTCTCCATTCACTCCTATCTAACACGCTCACGCACGCTTGCTGGAAGTCCAAGCCCCACGCCCACAAAACCTCCTTTACCCCCTCTCTCCAACCCTTTCGAGGACAACCCCTACCCCGCCTTCCTTCCCCTATAGATTTATATGCTTTCCATGTCATTCTACTTTGATCCATTCTCTCTAAATGACCAAACCACCTCAGCAACCCCTCTTCTGCCCTCTGACTAATACTTTTATTAACTCTACACCTTCTCCTAATTTCCACACTCCGAATTTTCTGCATAATATTTACACCACACATTGCCCTTAAACAGGACATCTCCACTGCCTCCAACCGTCTCCTCGCTGCTGCATTTACCACCCAAGCTTCACACCCATATAAAAGTGTTGGTACTACTATACTTTCATACATTCCCTTCTTTGCCTCCATAGATAACATTTTTTGACTCCACATATACCTCAACGCACCACTCACCTTTTTTCCCTCATCAATTCTACGATTAACCTCATCCTTCATAAATCCATCCGCCGACACGTCAACTCCCAAGTATCTGAAAACATTCACTTCTTCCATACTCCTCCTCCCCAATTTGATATCCAATTTTTCTTTATCTAAATCATTTGACACCCTCATCACCTTACTCTTTTCTATGTTCACTTTCAGCTTTCTACCTTTACACACATTCCCAAACTCATCCACTAACCTTTGCAATTTTTCTTTAGAATCTCCCATAAGCACAGTATCATCAGCAAAAAGTAACTGTGTCAATTCCCATTTTGAATTTGATTCCCCAAAATTTAATCCCACCCCTCTCCCGAACACCCTAGCATTTACTTCCTTTACAACCCCATCTATAAATATATTAAACAACCATGGTGACATTACACATCCCTGTCTAAGACCTACTTTTACCGGGAAATAGTCTCCATCTCTTCTACACACCCTAACCTGAGCCTCACTATCCTCATAAAAACTCTTTACAGCATTTAATAACTTACCACCTATTCCATATACTTGCAACATCTGCCACATTGCTCCTCTATCCACTCTATCATATGCCTTTTCTAAATCCATAAATGCAATAAAAACTTCCCTACCTTTATCTAAATACTGTTCACATATATGCTTCAATGTAAACACTTGATCTACACATCCCCTACCCACTCTGAAGCCTCCTTGCTCATCCGCAATCCTACATTCTGTCTTACCTCTAATTCTTTCAATTATAACCCTTACTTAATATACAAAATATACACTCATATTATTGTGCTTACTATATATATGTAGAACATTAAACTCCAATATATATGCTCCTCTCAAACTTCTCCTTGACAGCTACAACACAACACACAGGCACAACACAAGGCACAAAACTCTGACATTCTTAGTGCCCGTCTCACCCTATGCAAGAATGCAATGCATATAAAGGCCCTAAGATCTGGAACTTATTGCCCAAACCAGCAAAAAGTCCCCTGCCTGCCAATCAATTTAGAGCTAGTATAATTAAAAATTACTTCATCTCCCAAACGTAATTATACTAAACAAAACCAACTCGTCCAACTATGTACTTTGGTTTCTTCCCCACATCTTACATAATCTTTTTTAGCCTGAAACCACAGAACCAGTTAAACAACTCAAGAAATCCCATTTAACCTAAGATCACTAAATCAGTTTTAAGAATTAATACACACTTAAAATTGAACTATACTATAGATTAAATAAAGAAGAATGGGGACACAACAACTGTAGCTTTCCGTTTACTGCTGTAGCCAGGCACTGCATGGTAATTACTATCAGAAGGTGAAGAGTATGGCTAAATATGTGTTCCCAGTACTCACAATCACTCATAGTACACACCCTACCTCATTCTAAAACACAATGATGACTTTATTTGGCTTTGTAACCCTGGAGGCTTATTTACCCAGGATAACCCAGAAAAGCCAAACAGCATGGTATATTTCCATTGGGATTCTTGATTAACATCCTTTCACAGGATGTGACATATAACAGTCGACTAATTCCAGGGTACTATCTGTTTACTGCTAGGTAACAGACACAGCAGGTGTTCAAAGACTTGTATACACTTCATCTTATATATGATTCAGCCCCACGTTCTCTAGGTAGTGAGCCAAGCGTGATACCACTACATTACGAGCTACCTACCCTCTTATTCATATACTGGACATACCTTACTAGTGTTTAAACCCAGTAATGGAAGTCTTATCATTTAACTCTAGTATGTTAAAATAATCTAATATACATTACAAAAGTTAGAAGAGGTTAACTAAGGTAGTTTGCAATACAACCATGATTACAAGCAAAACAAATTAATGGTATAGAGACAGCTCAAGTTAAACTCGTATACTACTTTAGCTAAAATAAAAGAAGAAATCGCACAATACATGTACAGTATTGTTCAAAGTCAAAACTTAGTTAAAGAGCAAAACAGTGAAGCACACAATGTGAGCAGCTCATGTGATACTTGGTACCGGCATGCAAAAACACACTCTGAATGGTACCTCCGGAGGAAGCCTGGACGTAAGCAGCAGTTATGTCTCCAGCAAGCGAAGAAGCACCTTGGCTATTTAGCACCACAACTGCCTCTTTTTGGTGTGATTCATGGTCTGCATCGTTTACTGCAAGTTCACTCTCAATCCAAAGTTAGTATAACTAATTTTCTTCCCCATTAAATTATTATTTGTACTATAATGTATCACTTCCACTACTGGGGACTTGAAGCCTCCGAAAAGCTTTCACCCAATCTATCACTCAAGCTCATCTCCAGTGCTGAGTCAAAACTTGAAAAGCAATCATTGACATTTTTTTCAACCACAATCGCACCAATGTGAGTTTCAACGTGCCTAGAGGTGCCCTTGTAAGCTCTCGGCCATGTGTTATTTGCTGCCTCTTGGGATTTCCACAATCTGTTAACTAAATTATGTGAATGATCTGAGTCACTCATCCTAGGGGTGGAATTCAGGAGTGGCTCCAAACATACTTGTGATTCACGAGGGGAATTTGGCACATGCATCTGAGAGAATGGCAGCCAGGGGGCATACCTGAGCAGAGAATGACCCAGGCCAGTAGGAAGCGGGCTGGAAGAGGTAGAACGTGACCCAGTGCCAGAGTGGATAGCTGAGTCAATGGAGATGGTCATTGGGGCATTGTTGAGATCAGGTGCATCAGTCAGCAGCCCAGAGGAAGACATTAGTTCCTCCTCCAAGTCCAGCTCCAGAGATGAGTGATCTGGCAGCAGTTGGTGACTGCAAAATTATCCATACACATAAGCATTGTTAACAAAATACCAAGGACAACAAGGCAACAACAATCATTTAAAACATTATTAAAAATAGCATGTGTATGTGTTCTCTCTAGGGATGAGATCAAAAAATTTATGCTAATACCAATAATTTTCCAAAACAGCCTCTCCTCACTTAGCAACTTACTCATTTACTGACAACTCAGAATTGTGACTGGCTCTCTGACCAGTATGCATATCTAAATAATGTATGCTAGAGATAATTTTTTCTATTCTGTTTATTACAATATATGGTACACTACTGTATAAACACATAAAAATATACTAGAAATGTTATTAATGGTGCAACTGTGACATTAAAACAATATCAAAGATGGCCGACACAAACCCACTACCATTATAGTATGCTCCACACTTATAGACAATTTCATTTACTGACGTGATCTTAGGAACAGAAGGAGAGGCTGTATTTATTTTCAAAATTATGATAACTATCTTCAATATATAATGAAATACTTATTGCCTAATAGGGATTAAATAACCCAGGGAGGGGGGGGAAATGTGTGAATAATTTTGGTATAATAAAACTAAAATATACAGCACTCTCATAATACTGTCTATTCAAAGCTTTAAAAAAAAACACATTTGAAAACTAAAAAAGTACATTATTGTAGTACCATGATTGGAAATAAAAAATGCAGAATTATAGTTGATATTCTGAACATCATCATCTCTCCATTATTAACTTGAATCAAGTGACACATTTCTGTAATACAGTTTTTCTTTTAATTTGAAGGAACACACTGAAAATATAGAAAACCTATATTAATCAAAAAATAATATACGCACTACATACGCAAATAATACAAAATGGGAATTGACACAGTTGCTTTTTGCTGATGATACTGTGCTCATGAGAGATTCTAAAGAAAAATTGCAAAGGTTAGTGGATGAGTTTGGGAATGTGTGTAAAGGTAGAAAGTTGAAAGTGAACATAGAAAAGAGTAAGGTGATGAGGATATCAAATGATTTAGATAAAGAAAAATTGGATATCAAATTGGGGAGGAGGAGTATGGAAGAAGTGAATGTTTTCAGATATTTGGGAGTTGACGTGTCAGCGGATGGATTTATGAAGGATGAGGTTAGTCATAGAATTGATGAAGGAAAAAAGGTGAGTGGTGCATTGAGGTATATGTGGAGACAAAAAATGTTATCTATGGAGGCAAAGAAGAGAATGTATGAAAGTATAGTGGTACCAGCACTCTTATATGGGTGTGAAGCTTGGGTTGTGAATGCAGCAGCGAGGAGGCGGTTGGAGGCAGTGGCGATGTCTTGTCTAAGGGCAATGTGTGGTGTATATATTATGCAGAAAATTCAGAGTGTGGAAATTAGGAGAAGGTGTGGAGTTAATAAAAGTACAGTATTAGTCAGAGGGCTGAAGAGGGGTTGTTGAGGTGGTTTGGTCATTTAGAGAGAATGGATCAAAGCAGAATGACATGGAGAGCGTATAAATCTGTAGGGGAAGGAAGGCGGGGCAGGGGTCGTCCTCGAAAAGGAGGGAGGGGATAAAGGAGGTTTTGTGGGCGAGAGGCTTGGACTTCCAGCAAGCATGTGTGAGCGTGTTAGATAGGAGTGAATGGAGACGAATGGTATTTGGGACCTGACGATCTGTTGAAGTGTGAGCAGGGTAATATTTAGTGAAGGGATTCAGGGAAACCGGTTATTTTTACATAGCCGGACTTGAGTCTTGGAAATGGGAAGTACAGTGCCTGCACTCTAAAGGAGGGGCTCAGGATATTAGCAGTTTGGAGGGATATGTTGTGTATCTTTATAGGTATATGCTTCTAAACTGTTGTGTTCTGAGCACCTCTGCAAAAACAGTGATTATGTGTGAGTGAGGTGAAAGCGTTGAATGATGATGAAAGTATTTTCTTTTTGGGGATTTTCTTTCTTTTTTGGGTCACCCTGCCTCAGTGGGTGACGGCCGACTTGTTAAAAAAAAAAAAAAAAAATACGCAAATCCTCCATGTAATGAATCACCACAAAACAGACATCAGAAATACAAAAGACAATCCACTGATAGACTGTACAATAGTTACAGAACTGTCTATTATTGTTACAGTTATGACCAAATAATCTCTTCTCTATCCACCACAACTTCCACCTGCTCCCCATCCCATTAGTCCATTATGTGGAGGGTTTGCTACATTATTCTGATAGCTAAAATTAAAAATTCTCAAACCGAAGATGAGGAATATAAACAGATTATATGAATCACATTCCATAATTTATAAACTGGTGGTCTGGTAAGCCAGCAGAAGGCCTCAGTCAGATGAGGAAAGCACCAGCTGTGGGTCACCATATGACTAAGACACGTGTCAGGAAACATTTGTCCTGTTTCCTGACAAACCTTACCTAACCTAACATCACCATCCCCTCCATTTTCAGAAGTTAATCTGTTCCTATGAGGAGAGTAGATGTTCCCTTCAATGCTGAACAATCTTTCACTCTACTGAAGAGAAGGTGAATGCAGATATGTATTTACCAGTTAGTTATGTACAAGATGGTAGAATTATCAATTTATTTCCACCATTCTAGTAGATTTCCATCGTTATGCAATAACACCATATTTATCTATTTCTGTTTTTATTTTATGTTACTAGTAATGCAAATACCAATGCATTTGTTTTTTGGATAGTTATTTTTTGTGACTGAGAAAGTGATCCTAAGGCAGATGTCGGTGATGCGCTTCTGGGAATTCTGGAAACAATTTATCCATAACATTTATCAAACTCAAACTTGTCAAGCTCTTCAATCCTTCTTACACCATCTTGCCTTTCTTCATCAGACTTGTTGCTGCTTCATTATAATGGCAGGGATGGAATAATACCAGATTCTTTTTCTGCAGATACCAATACTCAATATCTGGCCAATACTTATACTATCAAAATTAGCTGGTGCTCACCAACACTGTTACCAATACCACCGAAACTGGTTGATATTCACAAGTACCATTACTGTACTCAGTTTTAGGCCAGTACCAGTACCACCAAAACTGACTGATACCCACCAACACTGATACTTCACACACCCCTATACAATAGCATACAATACCAACAAGGAAAAGAGTAAGACATGTGCAACAGTTTAAGTATGTATCATTATTTCCAAAATGTTTTACTCACACAGTAGACTCCTTCAATCAAATACCAAGGTGACTAAATATGGAGTCAGAAGAAGCAGTGAAGAGGTCAAGATAATGCGATCAGTTCAGCAGCAATGAAGTAGCAGCTTTGACGTGGTCAGTCACTCACCTGCCGGGTCACCGTATGGAGAAGACCCAAGCCAGGACCCATCCCAATGAACCTGCTCAGTCATGAGATGTGTTCAGTTTCACAGTCTTGAACAATATGAACTTTGGCTGAGAGACTATCCACCTCAAAACTATTTTTTTAAACAGACAATTAACAAGGAAGTTTGACCAACGGTTAGGCCAGTAGGGTAGAAAAGCTCTTGAAATTGGACACAAGTATTGAGAGTCTAGACTGAAAGTAGGCCTGTCCGAGGAGAGGACAGATAAAGTAGGTATGACTGGGTGTTGAAGAAGGCACCTGAAAAACAGTTAGCATTCACCCTGATAAAGAAGACAGTTGATCAAGACATGTTAAACTGCCAGTGAGACTTGACATTTGTCTCGGAGTGGCACCGGACGACCATGACTGCTTTATTATGCACCCCATACCCATTATGTGAACAGAAGTCAAAAGAATACAGAAATACATAATGGTCCTGAGACTGAACCCAGAGCTGAGTTTTATTAGACTGACATGTGTGAGCATTGACACACCATACAGAACAGGCACTACTAGGACTATGTTTTGCCCAGAGTTGAGTTTTATCAAGTTAATAAAGCTCAAATCTGAGCAAAACATCTTCCAATAAAAACTTTTGCAGATTGCACCATTTTACCCACTTTTTAAAATTGGTTTTCTCCATACAAAATTTCATTAATTCTTAGCTTAAGACCTCCCCAAAATGCTGTATGTAATTGTGAATTTCATTTTTTATTAAATTAATGGTCATCACCCACCAAGGCAGGGTGACACAAAAAAATAAAATACATTCACCATCATTCATTCATTTGCTGACTTTCCAGAAATCTGCCGATATCACACTAAGATTGCCCTCTAACTGCACCATCCCCATCCTTCCTTCAGAGTGCAGGCACTGCCCTTTCCACCTCCAAGAACGCAAATATGGTCGGCAAGTTTGCAGTTCTCTCTGCGTCAACTATTCTGGCTGAGTACTGTAAGCTTGTTTACGATACATAAAATATCTACACTCTTTTAAAAGAGCATTTTGCATGTTTGAATTTTCCACCATAATCCCGGAATGGATTAAAAAAATACGGAAATGTTGTGTAATGTGACTCACCTTCTACACGCTACCTTATATTCCTCAAAGCCTCCGAGCTCTGCTAAGCTGCGTGTTGGGAAGAAAGTAACTCAAGTTTGGTACATTATTATTACACTTATGAGGAAGCACTAAATGATAGAGGTCCTACAGTGTATGAAGAGTGATTGGCAATTAAGTTTGATCTGAAGAAGGGAAGCAGAGCTTTAATTCCTTGGATCACAAGCCCTTCACAAGCATCAAGGCCCCCCCACCCTTGTATAGCAAGTTTGGTACAATATACACCTACCATCCGACTTACGACCTGCTCGACTTACATCCACTCGACTTACGACCGTGCATCTGGCAGCTGGGCTGGGCCGGCTGATGCACACTGCTGTGCAATATCTGACGATACTCGCGGCGGCAATGCGTCATGCAGGCAGCATCAGTTTGAGTTACCCTGCCCTATCAGCAGCATCATACTGTATTAACTGTACTAACTGGACAGTAAATTTCACCATGGCCCCTAAGATGAAGTCTGAATCTTGCACTGGACATTATGGCAAGAAAGGCTCTTACTCTTGAACTCTCTATTTGTTTTCACTGTTGCACATAAACCTGTCTGTATCTGTCTACCTGTATATGTATCTGTATCTGTCTATCTCTGTGTGTCTGTTTATCTGTCTGTCTACCTGTGTCTGTTTTTCTGTCTACCTGTGTGCGTGTCTTTCTGTCTACCTGTGTGTCTGTCTTCATGTCTACCTGTGTGTTTGTCTTTGTCTACCTGTGTCTGTCTTTCTGTCTACCTGTGTGTCTGTCTTTCTATCTACTTGTGTGTCTTTGTCTACCTGTGTGTGTCTGTCTACCTAGTGGTATTCTCCCATTCCACTGTGTCGACAATACATAAAGATAACAGTAACATACGATACTGTATGCGATGTAAAATTTACAATACAGTTCACTACCATGTATACATTATATACAGTACATAAATAATTAAAATATACAATAGAAGTAAATTATGGTAAAAAGAATGAAATAATGATTGTACATTACATTACAGTACTATGTAGGCAGTTTTTATAGGGAAGGTTTGACATTATGCCCTACCCAGTATGTCGGCAATTTTCAAAGGTTCGACTTACGTCCATTTTGACTTACGACCGGTTGGTCGGAACCAAGCTTGGTAGTAAGTCGGATGGTAGGTGTACTTACAAGCATTACCTTTCAGAGTTAATATACTACAATTATAGAAACCAAGACTCTCTCAAGCATACTGAAGCTAGCAGGGGTTATGCCAATTCACAAAAGTGGCAGTTGAAAAGAAATCAACAACCTCAACCCTTTAACACATCGGCCATTTCCCACTGAAGACAGGGTGACCCAAAAAAGAAGAAACACTATCATCATCACTCACTCTGTCACTGTCTTGCCTCAGACATGCCAGTACTACAGTTCAAAATTTATAACACGCCATAATTATTATATAAAATCACTTAAAAAGATATATAAATACACACATATTCGTAACAATATCTTTAACCACTGCCAATTTGTTTTAAGGCCAGGAAAAAAATAAGTTCAAATGATGCAAAAATAAAAATGCTTGATGCAATCTACTTGTACTCAACATACAGAGAGTTATTACTATACACGCAGTTGTATACTGTACACTCATTACTGTACACACTGTTATATACACCACACTCATTACTGTATACACTGTTATATACAGTACACTCATTACTGTACACACTTATACAACGTCGCCTCACTTAGCAACGTACTCATTTACTGACGACTCGGACTAACGACGGGCTCTCTGACCAGTATGCATACCTAAATAATGTATATTAGAATGATTTCCTCTATTCTGTATATTACAATATACAGTACACTACTGCATAAACATTTAACCATTTCAGGGTCCAGAGGCCAAATTTCAAAGTGTACACCAGGGTCCAAGAATTTTCAAAATATAATTTTGTTATTTTTTCTTATGAAATGGTAGAGAATCTTTCTCTGAATGCAATAAAAGAAAAAGTATGAAATTTGATAGAAAATTGATGAAATTATGCTCTCGCGAATTTTGATGTGTCAGCGATATTTACGCATTGGTGATTTTATAGACTTTGACTCCCATTTTAGGTCAATTACCTTACTCCAGTTGACCAAATTCTTAGCTATTTCACTAGTATTACTTCTATTCTATCGAATGAGCACAAGAAATCGCCAAGTCAACTGTTTCAATTACAAAATAAAGTGATCGGAAATTGGTAATTTGGCCAATTTAATGCAAAGTTCAAAATATTCTATTTTCAAAATACGGTCCAGAATAAACAATGCAGACATTCTTGACACTAAACTAACATTTCCTCTGTTCATTAGTTAAGTTTTCAGGCTTTACTAATGAATTCCATTTTTATTTTTTATTCACATAATGAATTTTTATTCAAACCAAAAAATAGAAGATTTACTCTCATGCAATATTGTAATAATTGTATAAATAATATCACCACATTTGTGAACGTATATTAGACCCACCAGCTGGCGTGTATTAGACGTGTGAGGTCATTTGTTTACTCTTGAACATCGGCAAATATTTAACCTTTCCGCTACTTTGAGCTCAGTTTCAAGCCGTTTTCAGTACTAAAAGCAATCAAAATCATCTCCATTTCTGTAATATATCTTCCATTCTATCAAATGAGACCAAGAAATCGCAAATACAACTATAAAAACCATATGAAAAAACACTGCAAAGTCGCTGTTTTAATAAAAAATTACGGTCTCAGTTTTTTTCCTCTCATTATACACTGATGCTGCAGGATTTGTTTTATGTGGTGCACGCATACCACATAGATGTATTATCTCATATCTAGGCCCAAATTTACCGCTCACAGCTTATCAGAGTGAGCTGAGCTCATGGCGTAGATCTACGGTTTGGACCCTCAACATGGAGCCGTAGATCTACGGCACGGACCCTGAAAGGGTTAATAATATACTAAAAATGTTATAAATGATGAAAAGATGACATTAAAACAATATCAAAGATGGATACATAAACCCATTACCATTACAGCATGCTCCTCACTTAGCAGCAAATTCGTTTACGAGCATAGTCTTAGGAATGGAACTCTGTCGTTAAGTGAGGAGAGGCTGTATAAAGAACTCAGTATTGTACACACTGTTATATAAAGAACACTCAGTACTATACACACTGTTATATACAGTACATTCATTACAAATATCTGCCCAGTCCTAAAACTCTTCTCCAGTACAGTGCCCTTCACGGGTCACGCCTTGGTGTTGGTGAAACATTCTTCATCCCAAAAAAACTGGAAGTATCCCTCCCCTTCCTTGAGTCAAACTTGCCCAGGTACCTTATGACCCTTTTGAGTTTAACCCTTCCTAATGCATATACAGCAGTACTAATAATTCTCAACTCATGCTTAGTTAAGCACTAAAGTGAGGTTTACGCATTACATAAATGCCATAAAACAGTATGTATACTCTCTTGCAAAACTTTCCACAGTGGCATTTCATCATTCAGCAAAACATTTAAAAAAGTTTCCCACAGAAGCAGATGCACACATGGCAGGACCACTGTGTTGAAAGTTTCCTTAGTTAACCCTTAAACTGTCGAAACGTAGATCTACTTTTTTTTTTACATGCTTCCTTATGGAGAAAATCAAGGTCGGAACACTACGCGCACAAATATAGAGCTACATTTGGACAGTTTAAGGGTTAAGTTGATTGATGGTTATAATAAAGTCAAAGGAATGTTAACCATTTTTTTTTTTTTTCAACAAGTCGGCCGTCTCCCACCGAGGCAGGGTGACCATATGGTTAACCATATGGTATTTTAAAAGTGCTGAAGCACGTCTCAGTGCCTGTATGAAACATGTCAGAGCACTTGTATGAAACACATTGGAATACCTGTATTTAATATTTCAAATTGACCCTTGTAGGTTTAGCACTTCTTTTTTTATAATAATAATAATAATAATAATAATAATAATAATAATAATAATAATAATATAGTAATAATAATAATATTTCAAAGAATACCTTTACTGAGTTATACATGTCAAAGGACTTGGATTATATTTTCAAGCTGAACTGGAAATAACAAGAAATACGATTACTGCCATTGAACACACAGCACAGCTTCAACAACAATTTTTGCATACCTGTCATGAGAATTAGGGTGGAAGACTTCATCAAGTGGATTTTCATGTGAGGCTAAAGCTTCTTCAGCGTACTGGCGAAGGCAGCCATTATCCCACTCCAGTGATGGCATTGTATCATCCTAAGTATATTTTTTGCAAAATGGGGAATATGGTTAGTAACTTTAGTAGTTTACATGGCATGTGCATCACTGAGCTTAAATATAATTTCACAATGCTAAAAGAAGTAGTTATTTTCATTACAAAATACAAAGTTTTCACCTGCATGGATGCACGAGATGACTCTGCATCTTCAGATGGAAGTTCTGGCAGTCGAGAGAGAGGAGGAGCATGCATGCTTGACCAGCCATGCTGTGGAGAATCCCACTCAAATGAGCCTTCAGCTTCAGAACCTGAGATTCCATGATTTAGAGGCTGTGTTGTCTCGGCCCCACATGCTTCCACAGCATCTGACTCAGATGATGTGTTGGGTTTACTTGCTATAAGTCCCTTGAAACTTGCCCTTGAGCGATGGGCATTGACTAAATCCATGGCTGAGTTAGGACGAGAATCACCTGAGGTAATGGAACAATCAGAGAAGGTAGTTTTGAAAGTATATGGGTTAGGTCTAGATGTAAATTTTGTCACTTCTTCATCCATTTCCAACATTGAGGACTTAAGGTCATCTAGTTCATGTTCAATGTCATCCAAGCAAGTGAATGTCTTGCAAGCCAAGTCTTCTCTAACAGAAACTTCCAAGGACATCTCTGAGCACTCAGAAAGAGCAAAATCTGACAAATTAGAACAAACAGAATCTTCTCGTTTAAAGGAAAATCGCTTGGACCCAACAGGTGAGGTGACAAGTTCAGACAAACTGGAAGCTATAGAATTATCACGTGATATTGATCCCCTATGACCTCTGTGACGTATTTTTTCCATAAGATCACTAAGAGATGCACTGGAGATGTTTGAACTTGGTTGGTGCTCCTCTTCTCCCTCAGGCTGAACCCTAATATAAAGGGAAATTCCAATAAATATCTCCATCACAAGATACTGGATCACAGAATCCAGTCTACAATCCAGTGATATTATTACTCAAATACAGTATACTGTATACATATTCCAGCTTTATCAGAAGATATAAGTGAACCACGAAATTCAACTCTACTAACCTATTATCACCAAACCAGTCTCCTTCATCAGCATGTTCAACAGACTTGCGCGATGTCATATTCTGCAGACGTTTTCTCCTCTCAACCTTTAAAATAATAAAATGCAGTATTCAACATTTGGTATAAACTCTCTCTACACCTGTATTTATAATTTCATTTCTAATTTTAATGAAAAGAACACTGGAAAAACTTCTTAAAAAATAACTCATGGTAAGAGTGAATAAAAGCAGTGTTGTATCCAGTTTCCTTTAATGCAGTCAAGAAAGGAGAACATAAGATGAGATTCTCTTAGTTGTTGTTTTGTGTGCCCTGTCTTGTTTTATTCCCCTTCATATACTCTACAATGTGTGCTTATTTGAAGGCTTTATCTTACCATTTCCTCTGAGTCCGGAGTCTCTGATCCATCACCTTGGTGGCGGGTGAGGCCTCTTGAAGGCACCTGTCCAGGTACAAGACACGTTGCTTTACCAAGAGATGACTCGGAAGAAATCCACTCACTTTGAAGAGGATGGTCCACACCTGCAGTACTACTCAGCTTGCTACTAACATGTCTGCCAAAAGAAAAACAGATTAATTTTTTTATAATTACTTAAACTTCTTTCTTTCTTTCAACAAACCAACCATATCCTACCAAGGCAGGGTGGCCCAAAAAGAAAAACGAAAGTTTCTCTTTTTAAATTTAGTAATTCATACAGAAGAGGTTACTAGCCCCTTGCTCCCGGCATTTTAGTCACCTCTTACAACACCCATGGCTTACGGAGGAAGAATTCTGTTCCACTTCCTCATGGAGATAAGAGGAAATAAACAAGAAAAAGAACTAGAAAGAAGATAGAAGAAAACCCAGAGAGGTGTGTATATATATGCTTGTACATGTATGTGTAGTGTGACCTAAGTGTAAGTAGAAGTAGCAAGACGTACCTGAAACCTTGCATGTTTATGAGACAGATAAAAGGACACCAGCAATCCTACCATCACGTAAAACAATTACAGGCTTTCGTTTTACACTCACTTGGCAGGACGGTAGTACTTCCCTGGGCGGTTGCTGTCTACCAACCTACTACCTAGGAATTACTTAAACATGGAGGATAATTTGCAGTAGCCTCAACCCTGGTACTACAGTAAATCATTACAGCTTGCAATTCAAACATGTTTTGAGTGAGAAAATGAGTGAATGAGTGTGTGAGAGCAGCAAGTGTAAAAACAGGCTGTAACATCAGAGAGGATACTGTGGTCTACTACTGCTCTGAGAACCAGAAGGCTGAAAGTCAGTGACAGATTGAACAAGTGGAATTAAAAAGATAGGAGCAAGGGGCTAATAACCTTTTCTCCTGTATAAATTACTAAATGTAAAAAGATGAAAAAGTTTATGTTTCTCTTTTTCGAGTCACTCTGCCTTGGTGAGAAACAGACGTTACATTAAAAAAATTAATAGGATCAGTTTTTTCCTTGATGTTTATGATACATGTCAACAACCAAATGGGACAAATCAGGGACTACAGAGACTGAAATGTTAACTAGCATTTTAAGGCTTGTAGATATTTTCACATACAGTGGACCCCCGCATACCGTTGGCATCACATAACGTTAAATCTGCATACCGATACATTTTATCGCTAAGATTTTGCCTCGCATACCGCTAAAAAACCTGCTCAACGCTATTCGTCCAAGACGCGTCTAACGTGCGGCCTGAGCCAGCCTCACATGTTCCGCCGGTGGCATTGTTTACCAGCCAGCCTCCGCGGTAACATCCAAGCATACAATTGGAACATTTCGTATTATTACAGTGTTTTTGGTGATTTTATCTGCAAAATAAGTGACCATGGGCCCCAAGAAAGCTTCTAGTGCCAACCCTACAGGAATAAGGGTGAGAATTACTATAGAGATGAAGAAAGAGATCATTGCTAAGTATGAAAGTGGAGTGCGTGTCTCCGAGCTGGCGAGGTTGTATAGTAAACCCCAATCAACCATCGCTACTATTGTGTCCAACAAAACGGCAATCAAGGAAGCTGTTCTTGCCAAAGGTTCAACTGTGTTTTCGAAACAGAGATCGCAAGTGATGGAAGATGTTGACTCTTATTGGTATGGATAAATGAAAAACAGATAGCAGGAGATAGCATCTCTCAAGTGATCATAAGTGAAAAGCCTAGGAAGTTGTATGAGGATTTAATTAAAAAAATGCCTGCAACTAGTGATGATGTGAGTGAATTTAAGGCCAGCAAAGGTTGGTTTGAGAGATTTAAGAAGCGTAGTGGCATACATAGTGTGATAAGGCACGGTGAGGCTGCCAGTTCGGACCACAAAGCAGCTGAAAAATATGTGCAGGAATTCAAGGAGTACATAGACAGTGAAGGACTGAAACCTGAACAAGTGTTTAATTGTGAGGAAACAGGCCTGTTTTGGAAGAAAATGCCAAGCAGGACCTACATTACTCAGGAGGAAAAGGCACTCCCAGGACATAAGCCTATGAAAGACAGGCTTATTCTGTTGATGTGTTCCAATGCTAGTGGTGATTGCAAAGTGAAGCCTTTATTAGTGTATCACTCAGAAACTCCCAGAGCGTTCAGGCAAAAGAATATCCTCAAGGCTAATTTGTGTGTGCTGTGGAGGGCAAACAGTAAGGCATGGGTCACTAGGGACTTTTTCTACGACTGGTTACACCAAGCATTTGCCCCCAATGTGAAAGATTACCTAACTGAAAAGAAATTAGACCTTAAGTGCCTCCTGGTGTTAGACAATGCCCCTGGTCATCCTACAGACGTGGCAGAGCGACTTTATGGGAACATGAGCTTCATTAAGGTGAAGTTTTTGCCTCCTAATACCACTCCTCTCCTGCAGCCCATGGACCAGCAGGTTATTGCAAACTTCTAAAAACTGTACACAAAAGCTCTGTTTGAAAGGTGCTTTGTAGTGACCTCAGAAACTCAACTGACTAAGAGAGTTTTGGAGAGATCACTTTAATATCCTCAATTGTGTAAACCTTATAGTTAAGGCTTGGGAGGGAGTGACTAAGAGGACCTTGAACTCTGCTTGGAAGAAACTGTGGCCAGAATGTGTAGACCAAAGGGATTTTGAAGGGTTTGAGGCTAACCCTGGGAATCCTATGCCAGTTGAGGAATCCATTGTGGCATTAGGAAAGTCCTTGGGGTTGGAGGTTAGTGGGGATGATGTGGAAGAGTTGGTGGAGGAGGACAATGAAGAACTAACCACTGATGAGCTGCTAGATCAACTTCAACAGCAAGAGGCCAGACCTTAGGAAACTGCTCCGGAGGAGGGGAGAGAGAAATTGAAGAAGTTGCCTACTTCTAAGATTAAGGAAATGTGTGGAATGTGGCTTAAAGTGCAAACCTTTTTTGATGACAATCACCCTAACACAGCTATTGCAAGCCGTGCTGGTGACTATTACACTGACACTGTTGTGAAACACTTTAGGAAAATCATAAAGGAACGAGAGGTACAGGCCACTATGGACAGATATGTTGTGCGACAGAAGTCCAGTGACTCTGAAGCTGGTCCTAGTGGCATTAAAAGAAGAAGGGAAGTAACCCCAGAAAAGGACTTGACACCTCAAGTCTTAATGGAAGGGGATTCCCCTTCTAAACACTAAGACTCTCTCCTCCTCCCATCCTATCAATCATCACCAGATCTTCAATAAAGGTAAGTGTCATGTAACTGTGCATGCCTTTTTCAGTTTGTGTGTATTAAAATTAATATTTCATGTGGTAAAATTTTTTTTTTCATACTTTGGGGTGTCTTGCACGGATTAATTTGATTTCCATTATTTCTTATGGGGAAAATTCATTCGCATAACGATAATTTCGCATAACAATGAGCTCTCAGGAACGGATTAATATCGTTATGCGGGGGTCCACTGTATTTTGTACAAGTATCATGTTAACTTAATAAATGAATAAGAAAGAACACATTTAGGTTGAGTGAGGAAGACACATCACAGGATAAGCTTTCACCTGAGTAATGTTTTGCTTTGTATAGAGCAGTGGTTCTTATCTAGGAGTACCTGTACTCTCTGGGGGGGGAGTGAAAAAGCAAAGCTGGGGTACAAGACTAAACTGTAAGAATTGAACACATCCATCCAAGGAACACAAATGAATATGGTCACTGTCAGGAAAAAGATGAGTCTTCATCCAAAAACTTCAGATTTGGATAAATCACGTTTAAAATAGAAATTCTGCCAATTTTCATTCACTGATGTTTCACTTCAGTTATAATGTTTCATTTCATGAAGTGAAACATTTACAGGAGAAATTACTTCCTGGGTTGAGGCATGGCTGATCAATAGAAAAGATAGAGTTTGTATTAATGGAAAGAAATCAGAATGGAGACCCATTACAAGGTGTGTGCCACAGGGTTTAGTGTTGGAACCCTTGTTGCTCACAATCACTTAAACAATGTAGATCAGGGAATAAACAGTTACATAAGTTGATGAGGGTATCAAACGAGTTAAGAAAGATAAAACTAGATGTTAGACTGGAGGGAGAGAGTATGAAAGAAGTGAATGTGTTCAGATATATGGGAGTGGATGTGTCGGCAGATGGGTATATGAAAGGTGGGTGGTGCATCAAGGTATCTGTGGGGAGAAAGAACATTGTCCATGGAGGCAAAGAAGGTAATGTATGAGAGTATAGTGGTACCAACACTCTTACACGAGTGTGAAGCAAGGATTGTGAATGCTGCAGCGAGGTGGAGGGCAATGTGTGGCGTAAACATTATGCAGAGAGAGCATAGTTTGGAGATTAGAAGGAGGTGCAGAGGGGTTGTTGAGGTGGTTTGGTCATTTAGAGAGGATGGAGCAAAATAGGATGCCTTAGAGGATGTATAAATCTATAGTGGAGGGGAGGAGGGGTAGGGGTCATCCTCAGAAAGGATGACCCCTACCCCTGCATGGGGCTTGGACATTACAGCAAGCATGCGTGAGCGTGTTGGATAGGAGTGAAGACAAATGGTGTTTGGGACTTGATGAGCTATTGGAGTGTATGCCAGGTAATATTTTGTGAAATGATTCAAGGAAACCAGTTAGCCGGCCTTGAGTCCTGGAGGTGGGAAGTACAGTGCCTGCACTCTGAAGAGGAGTTTGGGATAATTGCTGTTTAAAGGGAAATCTAAACTAAAATAGTGGCTTTCTTTGTATTTAACAAATGAAAATTGTAATTATACATGGTAACCTTTGCAAAGAAATAAAAATCTTTATTCTTTTATCTGAATGGCTCTGGCAAGACAATGATGGTGCGAATGATGGTGAAAGTGTTTCTTTTTGTTTTTTTAGGCCACCCTGCCTCAGCAATCAGCATGTTAAAAAATAAAAAAAGTAAGTTTGCTGATGATACTAAAATAGACTGTCAAATAATTTCTTGGAGGCAAAGAGGGGAATGTATGAGAGTATAGTTTTACCAACGCTCTTATATGGGTGTGAAGCATGGGTCATGAATGTTGCAGCGAGGAGAAGGCTGGAGGCAGTGGAGATGTCATGTCTGAGGGCAATGTGTGGTGTGAATATAATGCAGAGAATTCGTAGTTTGGAAGTTAGGAGGAGGTG